AAATTTATATATATATATACATATATATATATATATATATATATATATATATAGCACCAATTCATAACATGTTATCTCAAGGCAGAGACATTTCTGTCAGATCATAGTCTGATTGGTTCTATCTAAAGAAAATCAGCTGTTTGCATTGAATCATTGTTTTGACCGCAGTCCCTCACACCAAGCATGCACACAGCAACAGTGGAGAGAAAAAGTCCCTTTTAACAGAAAGGAAGCTCCAGCAAAATCAGGCTGGAGGTTCATGGACAAAGACATACAAAACGAACAAAAAACTTTCTATTTCAGAAAGGATGAAGGATAGCACATACAGTTTAGTACTATGCCCTGAAAAACAGGCACAATTCTATCACCTATAATCTAAGGTATTCTTGGCAGCAGCGCATTTAATATTTATCTCCAAGATAATGTCACTATCAAACAGGAACTTACCAGATGAAGCTACCATGAAAAAAAAACATAAAGAGCAAAAAGGGCCATTGTATTCAATGCAAAGCTGGGTTTTTCTCCAAACAGCTATCCCATGGAAGCATTTCTTCCTTCCCATTATTGTGAACACTAACCTTTGGTCAGCAATGTGAGGCCTGTGTGGCTCTGTTTTTTTTTTTGTGATCTCCTGGATGGGTTGTTGACATACATCTAGGGAGCGTCCTCACTGTTCCATGTTTTCTTCATTTTTGGATATTAGCTCTTACTGTGGTTCTCTGGAGTGCCATAGCCTCAAGACTCTCCAGACAGATCACTGAGAATATTTTTTTTCTTTCTTCTACTTTTCTTTAGGTGATGTAAATCACATCTAATACATAATTTGACAAGATTTAGATGCATTGTTCTTTATGATAAACTTATTTATTAAAGACAATGTTCTATAGTTCCTCATGTTATCTGTATTTGAATCAAATTTAGAAGAACATGCATTGTGGCGTAGTTTGCAGCACTATTTCCTAGTAGCAAGAAGGTCCTGGGTTTGATTCCTTGCCTATGATCTTTCTGGATGGAGTGTGCATGTTCTCCGAGTGCATACATGGGTTCTCTCTGGGTACTCTGTCTTCTTCCCACAGTCTAAAAATATGTCTGTTACTGTATGTTAATTTGCTTGTCCTTAGGCGCTCCTGCAATGGACTGGTGACCTGTCCATGTCTTTTCTCTTATAGACTGATTGGGGTAGGAACCAGCCCTCCGTGACTCTGATTGGCATGTGGCAGAAAATAGATGTATAGTTGGAAGGTTTGAAAAAAGTTAATTATGAAAGACGATGCTGAAATCTGTAAGGAAGTCAACAACTTTCCAAAGCAAAATGTAAAACCAACATCATACAGGATTAACCAAAATGCAGTTTTCTGTTTGAGCTTAAAATTAAAAATTTGGTATCGGTAATACCATATGCTGTGAAATAAATTTGTGTCTCAATCTTGGGATTTTCTTTTAGATTCTAAAAATGCATCCTCTAGAAAATCCCAATTTGCTGGTCAGACCATGAAGACAACCTAAAGTCAGTGTTGGTGAGTTGAGAGCTGCTGCATCTCTATTTATAACTGACATAGCAGGGCCAGTTTTCAGTCTGTGCCACCTTCCAACATGGTGTTCCCCAACTGAATAATCAATAATGTTGTCAGGCAGTCTCTCCTGCACTCTCTCCTTCTCCAGAGGTAGCTTCCAACCAGTTTAATGAGCCCGTTCAATACAGGACTGCATTTTGATCTGCGATCAATGTACTGTA